AGCCCACTGAAACGTTAGGAAACAAAACTTCCAGAACACGGCCACACAGCCCGGAAGACCCACACCAGCCAAGGTAATATATACATTTTTAAAAATTATGCAAAGATGAAGCAGAACAGAGCTGAGGATCCTGTAGCCATTGCTAACTTCCAGGGTCTATAGGTGCCACTGTGGAAATCAAAAGCCTTCTTATCACAATGGCAGAGGCAAACACAGAATGGTGTTCTTTCACCACTGCATCTGTGTAGGATTACGCAGCAGAACTTTTATGAGTGGTCAAGAGGATCACAAGATGATCACAAAGAATGTCCATCAACAGTCCATCCCTTGTGAAGCACATATTAGACCATTCTCTGTTAGCCTATTGCACTCCAGTATTTTCTCTCCTGTCCTCCCCTCGTGCAGTTTTTTTTTTTAAAAAAAAACTGGATTTGGGATGTTTTTTTTAAAAACTAGCACAATCGCAGTTCCAAATGAAGTCCCATTCTATCCAATGTGACCTGGTAAAATGTTGTGAATTTGTTTGATTAAAAAAGTAATAGCAGTTCTTCCCCAGCCAGCCTTCAGATCTTCAGTTTTACTCTATTTTTAAAATACACTATGCAATCTCAGTGTAGAAATAAACAACTAGACTTTTTTTTAAATGTCTCACAACCCTTGCTTTCCTTCCATGTTTTTGAAAATGTAAGTTTCATTTTTGTCTCACTGGCAGCCACCAGAGATAACCGATTCTCCCTTTTTGCCCTTTTTTCCTATAGTATGCAATCTCTTGTACCTGCATTCAGTGACTATGGAGACCCTCACTGGCAAAGCAGCCGTTCGGAAAGCTGTATCTTCCACTTTTGAACAAGAGATGCTGCCCACGCCCACCATTGTCCACTTCAAAGTTACTGCACAAGGAATAACCTTGACTGACATCCAGAGAAAGTAAGAAAGTTGCACTGCTGGTGGGGAGCCATTTTCTACAGCCATCTGTACCGGAAGAAAGCTTTGGATGGGAAAGATGGCATATTTTCTTAATTTTATGGGGAAAAAATAGAGATACTCTTGTGTACTGTTTCCTGTGAGGTAGCCATGTTGGTCTGTTGCATCCAAAACACTAGGAGGCAAGCTACTCCTTCATAGCCCCAGCCCCCATCTGCAATATAAGTACAGTTTATGTTGGCTGGTTCAAACACCAGATTAAGCCAAATGTGATTTGTTTCTTTTGCTTTAGTGTAGCGTGTGAGCCCAGCCATTATCTGTGTTCACATTACTTGTGAAATAGGCCACTATGAATTGTTTAGCAATTCATAACTTAAAAATCTTGGCTTGGTATTAGGTTTGAACACAGCCTTTGCCAGAGTCAGTGGCCAGCTTTACAAGTCATGCTAATATGGCATTTTGGGTTTGGTTTAACTTATATTGACTACTGCCTTGTATAAGGAAATTAGTCATGCTTTATTTCTATTGAAATCATTGAGACAATTAGTCATCAATAAATTATTACTCATTTACTACAGTATATTTCAATGGAATTAAATCATGAGTCACTTCCATTGGGTCCAGGCTGGTCCGACCAGAAGGAAAAAACCCTGCTGTGAGATTGATATCTCA